GGCTAGCGCAGATAGCCCTCGTGTAGCTTTGCGCGAAATTCAAAAACAAACAAACAAACAAGCCTAACTTTTAGATATTTTATTACACTAGACTTTTTTACACAAGTAAGGCTTAAATCATACAATACTTTCCTTTCAAAACTGCCTGCTTACTCAGATGTCTGCATAAATAATCCATGAAATGATTTTCTCATGATTTATTTTCATTTTGAAACCATAGAACATTTACAGTTTGAATAATTATAGATATATATGTTAATTTACATTTATCATAAGATATCAGTTTGAGGCCTAATAGATTTTTAAACAATACATTTCTTTAAAATCCCTTAGAGATTAGATCAAGAATGTCGCGTTTAAAAATGTTATATGTAAACATTATACAGATATTGGCGATTCCTAATTATTGGTTGTTATATGCATATAAACTTATTAGCGAGCGAACGTACCTTTAGCCTAACGTTTAGGTATTTTATTTTACTCTAGATTTTTGTATACAAGCAAGAGGGTCTGTAGGAGCGGTTAAGTGGCACTTGCTGCTCCCTGGAAAATGAGAAATATAATTCTTTATTTATATATTCAGCATATGTGTACGTTTTTGAGTCACTTCAGAATTTCACCCTACTTATTACACTTAAATTTCAGTTTCAGTATTTACTTCTCTCTTCTTCTTTTTTAACGTTTCTGTCTAAATAGTTGGGAATTTTCAGTTGACAAAACTGTGTTTCATAAACAGCAACATGGTAACTGAAGATTATGCTGATAGTGTCAAACCTATTAACAGTGTGCCTAAATTTTAGGTTGTGAAGAAGAGACTTGAGAACGAAATATTGTATCATTATAATGATTTATGGAATGTGTTTTATTTTGTCTTGATTTTCTAAAATATATTATCATATTATTTACTACATAAAATTTGAATTTTATATTTAAACACTACATTATTTACATATTATGAATACAAAAGTGTATTTCTAAAGTAGAAAATGAGCCACTCATTAGGATTTTGTTTGTATGTTTGTTGTTAAGCGCAAAGCTATACAATGGGCTATCTTTGCTCTGCCCACTAAAGGTACCAAAACCTGATTTTTAGCATAATAAGCCCTCAGACTGTTGAGTTACTGGGTATGTATTCATAAGGACGTTTAATACAGTTGAAAAAAGTAATTATTTTGCTTTGCTTGAGTTTTTCATGTGTCTAAGCATCAGATGCTAATCTTGGCAGGACAGGTCTCCTGTATCTTTAACAGTGAGGGAAGATATATATACATATACCCTCCACTACTTTAATGACCTTTTAAACATATATATATATGATTATATTTAATATATATAATAAGATGCAATCAAAAATAGCTTTCAAGATATATATTATTATACTGAACTATGTGAAACATCCCCCTCTACTGGTTATTATGAGTTTTTGTTTTTTTTATAATCAATAACATCATGTAACGTTTTTCTCAAATGGTCGTTCCATCTTTCAGTTCAGATCAGTGCACATGAACTCTAGTATATTATCTTTTCATGGTTCTAAAATCAATGAAGTTTTTACTATTTTATGCAGTCAAGAATCACATAAAAAATGAGGTTGTCCAAAATATTTAAAAGAAATACAAGCTAGTCATGTATTGTAAAAAGTAAATAATTGTCAATACAAGTTACAACACAAACTAGCACAAGAAAAATACATTAAAACATTCCCTAAATGAAATTCTAGTGTAAAATGCATTAGTAACAAATTGTTTGTTTAATTTACTTCAGAATACACTAAGAGTAAATACCATTGATTCATAATGTATGCTATCTAATTTTTGCATTTCAAGAAAAGAAAGGAGTTCTAAAGTTGTAGATCTAGTGCTGCCACATGTTTCGTATAGTTCAATTTAGATTTAAAGACTACCAATTATCACACAAGTTCAACCATTGCTTTAATCTTCAGAATAAAGAGCATAGATTCTTTCAAAAAATAACATTATAATAAACACTCACAGAAATTTGCCACGAAAATATCTATTTGGTTTAATATACAATAATATTTAAAAAAAGGTTTCAAAAGAGCTGTTTTCTTTTAATTATAAAATATAAACTTACCAGACTATTTATGTTCATAGAAATAAACTTAGAAAAGCTTTATTCAAGTTTCTGTTGAACAGCACTGCACAGTGACCATTCAGTACTTCTATAATCTAGTGAATGCAACCCTAATTAAGCACATGGACTAGAACAAAACAAAGTGGTTAATAGCAGCAAAAGTTCAATGGGCAAAGACTGGCAGCAACTTCATTAGTTTCATCAAACTGTTTACAGGAATGCAAGTCACATATCTTACAGAAGGTTAGAAATTTGTTGTAGTTCATGAACTTGAAGACTGAAAACGTTCACCATTGCAGTTTTGACACAAGATATGATCACCCAAAGGATAACAACTACGACCCTCAGATTCTGATGACAGCAACATGCTGCAGTCCTTAAAAAATATACAAATTTTCAGTTTAGTTTAAAGAAATTCCCTTACTGCTTGAGATTATTTTAACATGTAAAAATATTAAGTTATCTCAATATAGCTGGAAGATTCAAAATCCAGTGTTTTTAATACATCACTTTATATTTATAGTTATTATCTAGAAAGTTATCATTCTTATATATAGATAAATATTGTGCCACTTATTATGTTATATGTTCTTCAAGGTAAATACTAATTTCATAAATGGATAGCTTTATTAAAGAAAAGTATAATATCTGGATGAGAACACAGCACAACTTACCTCACATCTGTAGCAATTTACATGGAAACTTTTATCTAAAGCAACAACTCTAATGATTTCTTGATGGCCTGGCTCAGGCATTATAGGTTGCTTACAAACATAGCATCGAGGAGCAAACTTTCTGTAATAATGTAGATAATATAGGTATAAAAATCACTGGGAACAAAACGATCCTGTCAGTGGCTTATTAGTACACACAATTTGTCTTCCAACAGTGCTGAAACCATAAAATTGGCATTCATTCTTCAGCAATGGTAATTTTTTTTAAATAAACTTCAAATTAGTGTACATCTTCCAAATTGTTAATAAAGTGTTCAAAAAACGTAAGTATATAAACTCCTGAACAATACTAGTATTATCCAAAAAATTATAAGGTTTAATACATTTTATATTGGTGGTTTGGTACAACCATCTACAATGAAGTGTGTGTTTGCAATTCCATAGTCAAGAAAAATGTTTGGGAAGAGGAGTTGGTGATCAAATGAGTTAACGATTTATGTTCAACAAAATCAGATTGAATTACTGAGTAATCTCTTTACTATAAGCATTGATGTGAAACAAAAGTAACTCTAAATCAATGATTATCACTGTTTTCCTGAGGCATCTCTATAACCTGAGAAAAATGCTTAAAACAAGAGAATAATGCTATCTTCCCTGAATTTTTAAATTTATATCTATTGCAAAATATATATGTAATGGAATAGCTAAAATGTCAGTTTATGTTGGGTATATGTGGTGTTCATGTTTATTGTTTATAAACCCAATATTTTATGAGATTTATGTTAAATGGGATGATAACTTTGCAAAGAACAATCTAGAGTTAATATATTTATTAATTCTCAGATGGAGCTCCAATGTTTCATCTGAAGCTAAATTACTAAGTAAATTGTGAAAAATTTATACACTTTATTTGCTTTTCAACTATTCTTCAAAATTTTCAGTTTTTTTGTATGATGACTATAGAATAAATTTGAATGAACTTTCTAATATATAAAAAATTGTTATTGTACACATTTCACTGTACATAATACATAAAAAAGTTATTACTTTTTAGTATTCAATAGACTTTATAATGGTTCCTAAAAAAGGTTCAAAATATTGCCTAATCATCACCTAGCAGGTTGTTCATTTTAATAACTCAGTATTACTATACAAGTAAAAAAATAAAAATGAAGACTGTCTTATGGCCTACATATAACAAAACTGATCAAAAATAAGGAAAAGTTATAATTAAAAAACAAAAAAAAGATATTGTTTTATCGTATAACACAGCAAAAAGTCAAACACTACACACTTGTGAGAATCGTGTTATTACTTATTTATAAAAATCATAAAATTACTTACTTGTGAAAGTCATCAATGCAGTGAATTTGATTAGTGGCATCAACTGTGAATGGAATGCCATCTAGACATTTCCAACAGACAATACATTTGAAACATGCAGGATGATAAGGTTTTCCCATAGCTTGTAAGATCTATACAAATGTAAGACATATACCACTTAAAAAGTTGGGCTAAATGAACACAATGTAAGTATATCTCCCAAATATTTTGTCTACAGAAGTATAGCTTTACTGTTTTTAGGATTGCTATTTTGTTTTATTTTATTTACATTGTTTTATGATGCAATTACTCAAAATACTTTAAGAAATTTTGTATAAACAGGAAACTAGGACAACTTTGAGAATTGTTATAAGAAAAGTTTACATGTCCATATAAGACAGTAACCAATAAGAAATTTAACTTGTGACAAATATGAAAATATTATGGTTGTAAAATACTTAAATATTCTTTTTCTTCTATTCCCAAATAAATGATATTAGTTTTTAAACATACAAAAAATTCAAGAATATTCCAAAACCAAGCAAAGATTTGGAAAAATAATAGTGCAAAGTATAAAAACAATGTACATCATTAATATTTTAAATTTGTGTTACAGAAATTATTTATGCTAGTTTTAATTTTCAAATTAAAAAGAAAAAGACAACAAACCTTGTGAAGAATAGGGTTTTGGCAAACACAACATTTTTCAAGAGAATTCTTCAGAAAAAAAACAAAACAATATATTTATGTGCTAACTAAAATATTATTAGAATATAAAATACTTTTAATTCAGTAAATAATTTTATATGCATATTAATATAGAATTTAAACCAAAATTCAGTTGTAATGCAAATAGTAAAGATTACTTGAATAATAAAACCAATATGAACCTGAAAATAAGTCTTTAATTTTCACCTTAATTTAATAAAATCACCATTTATGTATTTAATATCTGGCAGAAAAGAAAAAAAAATCGTACAGAACATATTTGTCATGTTTTTAAGTTATTTGAACTTACAAAATAGTCTTCTTCACAATATTGTTTTTCATCCATTGCATAAAATGATTTTCCTTGTAATTCTTGACCTGTAAAAAATGAAAATAACTACACTTACAAATGTAAAAATGTTTGATGCAATAGTAGAAATTTTATTTAGTAATTCATCTTTACAACTGGATATATTACAACAATCCTACTAATTCTATCAAAATGCTATTACATTTTTATCAAGTAATATAAATATTATAATTATTGCTAGGAAATGGATTACATTTGTTGCTTAATAACCTTATACTCTCAAACTTTAGTAATGTTCTAAGCTTTATATTGATTAATATTAGAAATTAGTTGTCATAAGAATACAATAAACCATACACTATGTTCGTATTTTGGGATATTCAGGACCCAGTTTCCTAAAAAATTATTAAGTACAAAGTTCTGTGAGAAAGTGTAAAAATCATGGGTATTCATATGGTAACTCCTTTTGAGATGCTAACTATATATTACATAAACTAAATATTTTTAGTTTGTTATAATTAACTGATATCTCTTTAAAGGAAACTTAGAACTTCATAAATCTTGAAGGGAATCCAGAACTGTGTGCTTCATAGTCATATTTTTGGGTTGATAAATATTGCTGTCTCATTTTTTTTAAATCTCTGTTTAAAAGTACAACCCTCTGCTAGAGGGCATGGTTTAACATAGTGTCCATTGCTGTATAGGACAAGTCACTATAAAATTTGAAATATTTCACTGTCTTTTATTTCAGGTCATTTTCAAATAATTCTGTGTCAGAAAACAGCCATCTTTAACATAGCATCCTGAAAATTTTACATATCTTGAATTAATCTTATCCATTAAATTTATAGCATTTATTTTGAATATAGTTTATCAACAGTTTTTTTTTATAATTGTGATGAAATTCAAAGTTTTGATTACACCCATTGAACTTATTACTGTCACCCAATGGGATTAAGTTGAATGGTCCAACTTTAAATAAACAACAAAGGAAGCTCATTTTAGATAAAAGCTAGATGCATCACATAAACTTGAATCCTGCAAAGTGTAGAAGTATTACTTACCACAAACATAACAAGTGAAACAATTTATATGATAAATGTGGTCCATAGCAGTACAGCCATTCCCTTCACCCAGTACTTTATCACCACATTTATAACACATACCTAGAGGGAAATAATTAAAATACATACTTCAGAGTAAAAACCATTAAATACAAATATATATTTCCAAAATCAAATAGTTAAAAAAAATGATGCCATGCTAATGTGAGAACCTTCATAGTATATTGACAAAGCTAGTTGAAGGTTAATTTGGATAAGCATGTTCACTCCATCCTTTATAAGTTACTTTGAAAAGTATTTTGGTTCTGTCAGTCTATATGTTTAGCTTCCTTTTGATCAGAAGGTCTTAAAATTAGTTCAATATTATTCATCAATCACCATAAGAGAATTACAAGAACTGCAATCAGAAAGTTATTTGTACTTTTTGGAAATGTTGGGTCCCATCATCATACTACTAGTGAAAAACATATTTTTCTCTGAAATCTTGCTTTATCTGCTTTCCCTGATTCTTAAAAACTGATCTGCAGTAATGTCTCTAGGAGATTAGACTTCTTCAGAGAATAGTTAAGTCAATGATCCACTCTTCTCTTATGCAGCTTTCTCTAAGCAGATAACTGTCTTATATGTAAGATCTCCAAGTGCACACTTAAGCAGATCAAAAACACAAAAGTCTATTAAATCCATATTAGGGGACCTGACAGGTCAAGTAGGATTGTTTTGATTCCAATTTCTGCTGTTGTCATTCTCATAAAATCAGTCATTGATTCTAGAGTGTGACTGGAAGTTGTGAACTTTTGTTAGGTTTAACTCCTTGTTTATTACTTGTTAACAGTGCAATGAGAGATGCTAATTTTCAATGCAGTGGCTTTTGTGTTGGAAGGTTCTCTTTTGTGACTGTAGCCTTCATTTAGTGATGAAGGCATTGGTCTTGATTGACTTGAGATGTGGTAAAAATGGACACCATGCTGGAAGGTTTTCTTTATTTTTGTTAGAGTATATTTCAGTACATGGATCTTCTTCAGGCTTGTGATTTTGTAGACCTCTTGTACACAATTATCTTCATTGGTTGAGTGGAGGTGTTTCCTGATTGGTTGGTTTTGTGAAGAACATTTGTGATTGGCTGATATTTTGAGTAGTTAAATAATCCATACATTGCTAATTGCCATTCCCAAGTTTCTATTTTGTGCAGAGATCCTAATTTTGATGTATAGACGTTCTTTTTTTCTGTTGTTTTCTTTGACAAGTATTTTGCTTTTGTGCCATTCTCTGCTGCGACCTACCTTCAATAACGTATTTCTGCTCGAAAATCAACCTTTTGGAAGATGATGAGCATGCCAACAAGTTCAATTTAACAGCTCTTGAACTACTATGGGTACATGGTGAGATCACGGAATTACAAAGCTAAAACCCCGGGTTTGATCCCCTGTGGTGGGCAAAAGCACAGATTGTGTAGCTTTGTGCTAAAACAAAATAAACTTAGCTCTTAGAAATCACCTATACTTAATTTAATTTTAATCAATTTTAGTAAATTTAGCAAATAAAGGATTTTCATGACAAATAAACCTCAGGCAATTCTATGACAATGACATATCTATAGACTTCCAAACAACAGGGATATTCATTTAACATCTTATCTACCTTTCACTGTTTCACGCAAAAACACAGGAAGGGTTCGACCGAACCCCCTATTTTTGTGATGTAAAACAATTATGCTCATATAGTTATAGCACAGCTGTTTATGGTATTTAACGTTCTCTATATAGTCTGTGTTCCTCTGATGAAACATTAGCTTTTTTTTTTTTTTTGCTTGAAACAGTCGCATGCAATGGCTTCTGTTGCAACTTTGTAATTGGAATTCCGAAGCCCCATTGCTACTGCCAGGTTTTGTAGACCGAATTTTTTACAGTATGTGTCTGTGACCTGTTAGCGATAAACTTCAACAATAAACAGATATCAACAGGGTCCACTTGTTTTAAAATAATATATCAAAACAAGTCAAATGTATATACAAATGTTCGTTTACACTATTGGTTATCACAGTTTAGCCAGTACTTTAAATAATTGTATTTTTTTCATCAAAGTCCACACAAGCTGGTTCAATTACTTTCGGACAAATTGATAAGAATAATTATTCTTCTCTGCTTTCTTATTATAATACAGTCTGTGATAATTTCACTTTAAAAATAGCCACTATAAGCTATTTATCGCTAAATTACGCAGTCTAGATCTAAATAATAATTTTTCGACGCGTATTTATACTTGGACAATGCAATTGTTTAAGCTATATTTCATGCAAAATTGCTTCTAGATTTAATCTCATAACATCTATTTTTTACAAATTTTCTGTGGGGTATGCCCCCAGACACCCATAGTATTAGCATGCTTTGCATACTGATTGCTCCCAGCATAGTATGTGTTGGCTTTTGATCTCATAAATTAGAACCCCCTTTCAAACATTCTTCATACAGGCCTCAGTTTATTTTTATAACTATATTATATCATTATATCCAGAATGAATCCTTAGATCCGTAAGTTTGTTTGAAATTAAGTACAAAACTATACAATGGGCTATCTGTGCTCTGCCCACCACGGGTATCGAAACCAGGTTTATGGCGTTGTAAGTCCACAGGCATACCACTGTGCTAGTAGGGGGTTGATCTGTAAGAAACCTATATTGCACAAAGTTTAGTATTTATTACAGGAAATAAAATGACCCAATCAACTAAGAAATCACAAATAATTTTATAAACTGACCAAAAAACTCGGGATCTCCTGAGTTTTCCATACTCTGAACTAAGAGCTCTGTTAAATGGTCAACTTCAGCCTCTTGTGCAGAAGGAATTCTTCCTCCCACGGGATAGGTCATCATCTTGAAGTTTAGCTTACCCAGTACCTCTTCAGGATAGTAATTAGAATAGAACAAAGAGTCTGCATTGGAACATGACCCAGAGGACATCTGGCTGCCTGGTTGAGGGTTGATGAACTCACAAATTGAGCCACTATTGTAAGTCGTCTGAAAAATTATAAACATGTGATCCTACATGAAATGTTCTATTTTTTATATGAGTGGAATAAATTGTTTTTAATACTTTTCGAGACATGTAGATAAAATACATTGTTCAATAACTAAATATCAAATAAAGTTAAAACTATGAAGAACCTCAAAAGGAAAGAAAATATACATGTAAACACTGCACATGCAATGGCTTTTTTATTTTATTCTGTCATTTCATGTATTCAAATTAGATAGTCCCTAAAATATTGAAAAATACACTAAAAACGTAAAAAAATGACATCATGATGAAATATTTTATGAAACTTTAACAATTCTTGTATTTTGAAGTCATGTTGAAAACATTATTATTACAGATAATCCAGAGAAAATCGTTCTTAAAACTAGTTTTAGTTTTCATTTAGTATGTCAGATAGATACTACCTTAGTGTTAGAAATATGGTGTACTAAAAATTCAAGTTCAATCTCTACAATGGGCAAAACGAAGATAGTCCAATGCGCAGCTTTGTAATTAACATTAACTCATAAGAACAATACAATCTTGGATCTAGTTTACACTAATGATTGCTATAATATAACTGTAGTTTTATTTATTATTATTTCTTAAATCATAAATTTGTGTCTACAAGCAAAGAGTTACATTTTCTAATTTGTTTGATACTTGTAGTATTGGTAAGTGTAATCCCTTGCTGAAATATTGTTACACAGTAGGCATCCCTCCTCTCCTCGAGTTATTTAAGTACTTATCTTTATTTAATATTTCGTATATCATGATTTAGTTTGAGTGTTCTTACATGTTATCGTAGACATTAATTTCGATATGAACATGTTTCATCTGAAAAACAAGTATTAACACAACTTCCAAAGTAGGTTAGTGGTAATTATTTCTTTCATTGGACAGGTTATTTTTTATTATTTGGGGAAATGATGCAAATTCCAGTCCACTTAATGAAAAGTATTTTACTTTTCTATTACAGTTCTATAAGCCCACCAATACTCACAAATAAAGCTAAACAGTCACTTATTTGTTAAATTTAATCTCCTATCTATAACACAATCTCAAAACTGGCTGATTAACATAATTTCTAACTCAGTATCGATCGAAAACACTGTAACGAACTCATTATATAAATAACTGATTAACTAGCCAATTGACTAATTAATAAACTCTCTGATGTTTTTATACGCTTGCAACATTTCTTTCCCCAAGTCTCTAAGAAATTTTTAGACATCACAAGATCATGCCAAAAACTTCCTCTACCAAATAAAACAAAATATCTAAATTAAAATTTTAAAAACAGTTCATAAAACATTAGAAAAGGTTTAACTTTTAAACATTATCCAATTTTACTTGTTTACAGTTCAGTGATAACCACATACTTTTGAACTGTACACATAGAAAGTATTTTCACATAACCCCAGACACACTTGACAGATGAAAAACTACACCATAAAGTAAATGATCAACATAAAGAACGTTACAAACTACTGTCTAGATTCCTTCAAATTCGAAAAGGTTAGGGACTATAGGGAATTTGAATACACTATATTATAAAGTTTTTGGCGCATCATTACATCGTTACCATTTATGTTGTCAAGTTCAGTCATGTTTTACTTGATGACTGTGCAACTTGACAATAATCTTGCAGTATAGTTTCTACTGCAAAATTCTCCCTTGTATGTCTGTCATAATCTTCCTTCATCATTGCATGCCTTCAATAAGCCATCTAGTGTACAAGGATGATGGTTCCAAATGCCCATTTCAATGGTCCATAAATGCCCATTGCGGTGACTTGACCAGTGTGTCTTTGTATGGAATAGCATGAATATCAGGGGTGGAGGAAGCAATTTTGGATTGGTTGGACAACTCAGAATAGTGTGCAAAGCACATTTTGCCATGAAAAGCATACCAGTGTTAGGAGGGTCTGGGGGAATGCCCTCAAGAACATTTTTAAAAATAGGTGCTCTGAGATTAAATTTTGTGCTAATTTTTTCTATAATTTATTGAAAGTATTAATCATTTATAAGCACTTCTTTATGATTCACAAAAATCGGTGCTCACTGGCACTTATACTCACCATAGTTATAAACAAGCACAAACATGTACACTTGCAGATTACATATATAATATATTATGCATTTTATACTGATTCATACATACTACTACAAGTCTATCTATTTACCTAGAAACAATAAAACACCAACCAAACAATTCTGAACACATCTTTATGTATGGATATTTTGGGCTCATCAGAGATTGTTTTATGAACGGAACTTTCAGGAAATATAATGATATCGCCAACAATCGCTATGTTTTCACATATCCGTAGTTTTCGAGGGAAGCCAGACATTGTATCTTGGGCCCTGAGCATGTGTGTCAACTCACCCTGAAGCGATAAATTCGGAGAGTTGACATAACAGAAAAAATCTGCAAGAGGAACAAGCTAACATTTTATTGGGCAAGCCATCTTATACTCCCGTGTAATTTTAAAGGGACTCGTTATTCATTCCCATAGATTTTAGCGTGCTAAATTACATTGAGCCAACTTTGGGTTTTAAAAAGTACTTTGCACTGAGTTTTGATGCATCAAAGTATTCACAGACCTTGGAAAGAATCAGAAAGTTTTGACCATTCTAGCATATTTAACAATATTTTTTGGGAGGGGGAAAAGTAGATTGAAGAATAATGTTCTTTCGAATAATATTTAATTAATCAAATAATTATTTAGTGCAGCAGTACCGTTAGTACAAAAAGTAGGGTTAAAGGGAATACCTATTATTGTAGGATATATCTGGTTGTCTTCTAACACATAAGGAAAACAAAACCCGTAAAACAGCAATGCACGTGCAAACGTGTTTTCTTGGGTGGGCAAATGCCTCCCTTGCTCCCCTGTAGCGCCACTACTGTCTGCAAGATACGCCAATTTCAAGAAAAACTGGTTGTCTTGCAACTTTCCGAGAAACTCTTTTTCCTTTTCTGTATGGCCTTTTTCAATAAACATTGCAATCTGATCTTTTAGCTCCAAAACGTGATTTAAGACTTAACCACGGGACAAGTAGCGCACTCCTGCAAGATAAAGGAGAACCAACAAGTCAGCTCCGAGTTATTCACACATAACCTTGAAGATTCTCAAATTCAGAGAGTTCCTACGAATGTGATTTATTATCTTCACGACGTTGTGGAAGACCTCCAGAAAGTCAACTGGAAGCGTTTTCCCACCTAAAGTGTACCGATGGATAACACAATGCATAAGCGTGACGTGTGATGCAACTCACTTGACACGGGCTTCAAACCCTGAGTTGAATTTTAAGACCTTTCTTTGTGGGAGACGATGTTCTGTTCGATAATGACGTCGGAGAAAAAACGGAATTTTTGTCTCAGAGAGAGGACACCATTTTAAGGGCTGAATTCGGTAACACTGAACCATTCATGTTTTGGATACAAATTTGCCGAGAGTATCCAGTTCCGGTATCAAGGGGAATGAAAGTTTTGGTTCCCTTTTCAGACACATATGGATGTGAAACCAGGTTTTCAGCACTTATCGCCATCAAGACCAAAGAGCGAATAAAACTGGAAGTGAATGGAGACCCAAGACATACTCCGTCTGTTACAGTACCGAGAATTAGTCGTCTAGTTCCAAAAGAAGCAGTTACACCCTTCCCACTGAATGATTTGAACTGAGGTGTATGGTAGTTAAAATATCATTATCACTTACTTATGTTCGGCCTCTTTTTGCTTATTATTTTGTATTTTTTGATAAAGCCTTGTGTTGACACAGTTGAACATAATAAAAAACATGTTTTGACTGTGAAGTATTGTTTTTTTTCCCACTTTTAAAAGTTTGAACTCCTTTTCAACTTTGGAAGAATTTCCTACAGTTGTAATCCTGAGGCTTATTGAATACTCTGAAGTTTGGTTTTTTTGTGGGTTTTTTTTTCAAACTTCGGACTTTTGAAGTTGGGGTAATGACTGCTTTACCTGATGGCGAGAGGGGTACTGGGATAGAAAAGGTTAGGAACCACTCTTCTATATATATGTACATATTCACCCGGCTTTTTAAAATATGTATATAACTAAACTTAAGTGAGAAAAAACATTGTATAATATATCAGTGTGCTTGCGTATGAGTGTTTGAGGGAAAAAACATCACCATACAATTAAATGGTTTAAATGGGGGCGCACAAAACACCGTATTTGTTAAAAGGGGGGGCACGGATGACAAAAGTTTGGGAAACTCTGGTGTATAGTTTGTTTATTCTGCGTTCAGTGATTGATATCTAAATAGTTTCAGAAGTAGATTCCATTTTATTGTCAAGCAGTTACAGCTACGTGACAGTTTTTTAATGACATTCTGTAACTTGATTGAAAAAAAAATGCTATATTTTCAGTGGTTTTACGCCTGATCGTAAAGAATACTTATCGATCGGGCTTTGTATGTAAATAGTAATACACATCATAAAACTTGTGTTCGTCCCAATATCTACATAACACGTTGCAATGGTGTAGGAAGGAGTTTCAAAGTGGGGGTGTTTGGCTAGACATGCAAATTTTACAATGAGAAATTCAATGTATAAGGAGCTACTTTTAGCAGCTCCCGTGCTACCAAAGAGAGCTCAATCTAGAGAGGTCTGGGGGCATGCCCTCCAGAAAATTAATATTTTTGTGTTACGCAAACAATGACTGTGAGTTAAGTGACGAAATGTAACGCACGGATACACATTAAAATGTTATAAGTGTTGTAGTAATTACTTATTATTTTCATTAATATATATAAAAAATGCTTAATATTGCATTATTGCACTATTGACCCTACCCTAATCGCTCGTCCCCCCCCCCCCTCTCATTCAAGAGATCATTGCATTGCGCCCCACACTTTGAGAAATGCTGATATACATGAAGCGGAATGTATTCACATTCAATGTGTCTAATATTGAAAACTCGTTTGAAAATACAGTCCCTTGGATACAATTTATTATATATCATAGACACACACACTCATATTCATGTCAGTACAACGCGTAAAGAGTTGCTTTCATTTTTGTAGACACAGAGCGTGGGCAGGTAATCGTTCCTGATCAATGTACAGAACTGTAATATAGCCTCAGGGAACAACTTACAATATATATATAAACCTCCCACGAATCAACCCACAATATTTAAACAACCTACACAAGAAATTAACAACAAATATTCATCACAAGCTCATATGCAAAACGGATCTTTCACTGACGGACTTGTCGTATGATACTACTGTCTAATTTTGTGAGCTGGTAGACGTTTATTTTTCTTTCTTTCATTTATAAAATCTAAAAGTTGGAACTGATATCATGTATGACAGTTCAGGAAATTTTCTGAGGAAAATATGGCTAAAAAGTGTTTTTATATCTCTTATCTATAACATAATCTCAATTTTTGCTCATTAAATGTCTCTTTCTCCATACGCCCGGCATGGCCAGATGGATAAGACGCTCGACTCGCAATCTGAGGGTCGCGAGTTCGAATCCCCGTCCCACCAAATATGCTCGCCCTTTCAGCTGTGGGGGCGTTATAATGTGACGATCAATCCCACTATACGTTGGTAAAAGAGTAACCCAAGAGTTGGCGGTGGGTGGTGATGACTAGCTGCCTTCCCTCTAGTATTACACTGCTAAATTAGGGACGGCTAGCGCAGATAGCCCTCGTGTAGCTTTGCGGGAAATTAAAAAAAAAACAAAAACAATGCACATGTATAACATAATCTCAATTTTGGCTCATTAAACTATGAAGACAATAAAGTAACATTCTATTTACTTAGCGTGAACGAATTAACGCTGAACATAAATTAATTAGATAAAAACTTCGTTCAAGCTTCTTTATTAAATAATTAGTTGGGGAAAAAAAGCACGAGTGCTACATATTTTTCAAATCCTGTATAGATTCCCCGTGGTGAGTAAAAAGACAACTAAAAACACCATTCACGTAATCGATCAATGTTTTGATTACGTCAGAAAGACACGAAGAATGCCGCCCACGTGATAACGTGAGAGAAAATCCATCGTATGAACTTGGTGTGATATCCTGTTAAAAACTAACACTAACTTAACATGTGTGAAAGTAAATATCCATGGGGATTCACGACTTAGACGACCTTCTACGTTTGAATAGCTTTTGTCTTTCAGAAGTCACACCATACGTTGAAATTACTTTGTCTCTTCTTAAATGTCTAGCGTTTTTTTTTTCAATGGCCTCAGAAATCTACTGAATGAATAACAACATTTGGAACAAAAGTAAATGCGCCGCGCAGGCTAAAAGTAATGAACTAAGAAATTTTCCATTACCGATTCAGTATAATACTATTTAGCTCAAAAGAATAATTTGTGTTCTACTTTCAGAAGTCGCTCGGTTTATCCGGTTTCTTTAGTTCTTTTTCAACGAGTATTCCTTTTCCGTTGAAAGCTCTAAGGACTAAAAAAACAATATCGTTTTATATGTTCTTTAATGCTTTTAGCTATCATGCATTGAAACACATTTTAATCGGATCTATGTGTGTGTGTGAATGAGGGGGGGGGGGTAAGGTACCGGAAATGTTTTCTCAATAATAAAGAAAAACAACAACACAATTGTATGTTTATGGTTTTTACAACATAAATTCTCCTGCATTACATTATTACCGGTGCCATTTTCATTAGTTTCACTTTTAAAATGCCGTCTCCTGCATTACATTATTACCGGTGCCATTTTCATTAGTTTCACTTTTAGAATGCCGTCTCCTGCATTACATTATTACTGGTGCCATTTTCATTAGTTTCACTTTTAGAATGCCGTCTCTTGCATTACATTATTACCGGTGCCATTTTCATTAGTTTCACTTTTAGAATGGCGTCTTCTATTTTCCATTGTTAGGCACCATTTTTTCACCACCTTTAACTGACCGGTGCCATTAGTACCGGCCATGTTACAATCAATTGTCCCCTCCACCTCAGTGGTACAGCGGCATGTCTGCTGACTTATAACGGTAGAAACCGGGTTTCCATATCCGTGATGGGCAGAGCACAGATAGCCCATTGTGTAGCTTTGTGCTTGACTTAAAGAAACAAAAACAATCATTTTTCTCCTGCTCGGTATTCTCAAGTGCCTCAACTAACGGAGCCTAAAATAATTTACTATACGTTTAATTACAAACATCCTAACGAATCGCTCTAATGACTGTCTTACCGTTAGAGACTGAGGACGAAAAGTTGTAGGAATTGATTGCGAAGCACACGTTGAACTCATAGACGAAGGAAAGGCAGGTAGTTCTTCCGAGGGTGGGAGGGGGGAAGGATGATTGTTGTTGAGTGGACATGACGTCTGTGGAAGAGGAGGAGGACGCAGAGAAAGATCATCTCCAAGCGGAGGAAAGCTAGAACAGCAGGAATAAACTCGTTCGTCTACAATAAAACATAAAACATTGATTTGTAGATCTATCTAATAACAGTAATAATACATCAAAAGATAACAAACCGCTATTAAACTCTTATAACAACCTCGTGGTAACAATATCTTTCTACAGTCTTGTATGATGCGATAAAAATGTCCTTCCTGCGGTTTATAATTGTCAAACCTTCTACCTATAGCAGAATGATGATGATTTTAAAATTTTGTCTTTGGTTTAAGATGTCGCTTATGATTATTGTACGATTACAGTCAATCTCTGAGATGTCACAGTTACTTAAGCATTAGTCAATAATATCACGGACCTTGATGCTAAAGATTATTGATTTTTATTTACATACAATGAGTAAAGTGTAGATAGAATTAAAATTATATTAAGGTTGGGTTGTGGCGATCGAATATCAGTTGTAATCATGGTTAAGTTAGGTTTAATATATGTACTTACGGTAAGGTTATGGCGACCGAATACCAGTTATTATCATGGTTAAGTTAGGTTTAACACACAGTGTCTTGCAAAAGTATTCAACCCCTACCAATAATGTTACCTTTTGATGAAATACAAATAATGTAAACATTGTTTATTAATGAATTTGTTTTTATTCAAAACTCTAATGATCAAACTTAACATTGTTATGTGTGAAGAAGGTTAAATGTCAGCAAAACCTACAAAGAAAATATATAAATTGAAATTTGCTGATTGCATAAGTATTCAGCCCATTAATCAATACTTGGTGGAAGCAAGGTCTCTACCACGACAGGTCTCTGCCAGCTTTGCACAATGGGGTGATGTAATTTTTGCCCATTCTTCCTGAAAAAATTGCTTCAATTCTGACAAGTTCGTTGGGGATCGTTGAAGGACTGCAATCTTCAAGTCTCGCCATAAATTTTTCATTGGATTCAAGTCAGGACTTAGAAAAAGTCACTCCAGGACATCCAATTTCTTCTTTTGAAACCACTCCAGTTGGCCTTGTGCTTCGGGTCATTGTCCTACTGAAATGTTAATTTTCGAGCCAGTTTTAGATTATTGTCTGACTCTAGCAGGTTTTCCTCTAGGATTCGCCTGTACTTTGCACCATCTATCGTCCCCTCAATCTTGACAAGATTCCCCGTACCTGCTGATGTGAAGCATCCCCATAACATGATGCTGCCACCACCACACTTAACAGTTGGAATGATGTTGACTGGGTGATGTGATGTGCTGTGTTGGGCTTGTTCCAGATGTAACGCTTTAATTTAGACCAAAAAGCTCAATTTTTTGTCTTGTCTAACGACCAAACCTTCTACCACATGTTAGCAGTATCAATTACATGCTTCGTTGCAAACTGCATTCGAGATTTAAGATGATTCTTTTTCAGTAATGGCTTCTTTCTTACCACTCGCCCATACAGGCCAGCTTTGTGTAGGGACCGGGATATTGTCGATGTATGAACGCTGACTCCCATCTCAGACATGAAACTTTGCAAATCTTTCAAAGTCATTGTTGGCTTCACAGTGGCATCCTTATCCAGTTTCTTGCTTCCTGGCTGCTTAGTTTGGAAGGGCGGTCTGATCTGGGTAGTAACTTGGTGGTATGACGCACATTCCACTTCTTAATGATGGACTTCACTGTAATCAAAGGGATAATCAGTGACTTTGAAATATTCTGGTAACTTTCTCCTGATCCGTGCTTCTCTACCACTTAGTCTTCATGGTTGGTTTGTCGTATCACTATGTGAGTTGTGGCTTGGGCAGATGCGTTTACTCTGAAGTCAAGTTAAACCACTTTGATTACACACAGGCAGAGACTATTACACTAATTTTGTGACATTTCAAACTAATCTTTTGAGCCTGAACTGCTTTAGGGTTGCCGTAGCAAGGGGTTTGAATACTTATGCAATTGAGAATATTCTAATTTTCTTTGAAAATCTAACTTACTTACGTAACATCAGTCGTTTTTTTTTTCAGTTTCTACATATAAAGTCTCATTTGAAAGTTTAATGATTGCAAGCTGAGACGGCAACAAGTCACTGTACTTTAGATAAGGTTGTGGTGATCGAATACCAGTTGTTGTCATGGTTAGGTTAGGTTTAACATATGTACTTACGGTAAGGGTGTGGCGATCGAATAACAGTTGTTATCATGGTTAGGTTAGGTTTAATATATGTACTTACGGTAAGGCTGTGGCGATCGAATAACAGTTGTTATCATGGTTAGGTTAGGTTTAATATATGTACTTACGGTAAGGCTGTGGCGATCGAATAACAATTGTTATCATGGTTAATAAGATCACTTAAGTCTAATTATTAATTAGGAAATATATATATATATATATATATATATATATTATCTTTTTAAATAAATATTTGGACATTTATTAGTTTTCCTACGTTCCAAAAATTCGATCTTGGGTTTTCTTAATAGACAGTCTAATGCATTTTCCACATGATTGGGTCTTCGTCCATTGGAATGTGCATTAACTAACTCTTTGAATTTTTTTAAAGAGGAGTACCTGGGTTTTGTTGATTTATATTCTAGGTTGGGTCTTGCATGACCTGGTGGTTAGGGCATTTCATTCGCTATCTGCCGGTTGCGGGTTTGAATCCCAGTCGCCGAACATGGTCGCCCTTTCAGCCGAGGGGGCGTCATGATATGATGGTCAATCTCACTATTTGTTGATAAAATAGTTGGCAGTGGGTGGTGTTGACTAGCCGTCTTCTCTATAGTCTTTCACTACTAGGTTAGGGAAGGCTACCTGGAGAAAAGACGCACGCCATTAGGTAAAACTGCCCAAGAACCATCGATAATACATCAGCAACTAAAATGCCCTAAATTACGTACGTTATCAGTTAGTCTTGTATGTATATTATGCACTTGAATATTAAATTTATTGGCCGTTTGTTTTCTCCAGTGTATCAGAATCCAAATTCAGCTGGTAAGTTATAATTAATGTTTCCCCTCTCTATTGAATCGTTAGATAGTTCTGTGTGTATTAATTACGATGGTATTGCATTATGACTTCTGAATACTGCTCTGACTATATTTTGTTTACAGAACCTATATATATATGTTTTCAGAGAGAGACATCTGATATAGGGCATCATGGCTGTATGTTTTTCTTCATGCTTATTCTTGGTGTTTATCCTCTTTTTTCTTATCCACTGTTGAGGAAAGTTGTAGTGATGTCTTTTCCTTTTTGTTAATTTCTTAAATTTTGCGCAAAGCTACTCGAGGGCTCTCTGCACTAGCCGACCCTAATTTAGTAGCAAGCAGGTAGTCAACACCACTAATCGCCAACTCTTAGGCTAATATATACCAACGAATAGTGGGATTGACTGTCACATTACAACGCTAGTTCCTGGACTACTCTATACTAACGAATAGTAGGATTGACCAGGACATTATAACGCTTTCCACAGCTGAAAAGCGAGCATATTCGTTGACAGAATTCGAATACGCGACCGCATATTGCGAATCAAGTACCCTAACCACTAAGCTATTTTCTTCTCAATTTATTCTAAATTATAAATCCCGTTCATTCTGGAAAGTAGGTAGTCTGTCTTGATACTGTTTAACACATATATCACAGTTATGTAACATATCACATAAATAGTCCGCAGTACTACTGGATAAAAAATATTCCGATAAGGAAGTCAATGCTCTACCAACCTACTAGTAAAGCATCACTTGGAATACTGTTTATAGACATGGTCTCCTTACCTAAGAAAGATATTGACTTATAGGAAATGGTTTAGAGGAGGATTACTAGGATGATTCTGAGAATGGAAGGGTTATCTTAAATAGGTAAGTTAAGATGGATTTTTTTCTCGAGAAAAGAAGAATATGAGATGATTCTTATTGAGTTTACAAGATTATTTGGATATTGGTTAGATCAAGGCCTCTGATTTCTTTGTTCTGCATTCTGAAGAAATTAACCAGAAAGGACACAAGTTTAAGATTTGAAATAGACAGTCTAGACTCCATTTAAGATAGTGTTGTTTTTCTAACAGGGTGGTTGACTTATGGTATAAATTACCGTCGATACTAGTGGAGACCAGCACTTTAAATATGAATTTAAGGTCTTTTTTTTTCTTTCTTTTTTTTTCAAGGCTAGGTGTGCTAGAATAACCTTTACAAATCAGGTGGTCCATTGTTGTCCATATGTTACTTACCGGGTAATGTGTGCTGATCTTCAGCTTTCTTCCGCTTCCACCTCTCGATGTTCCCGGACAAAGTTGCCATAGCAATTCTATTTCAAAACGAAGTAAGTGTACGCCTACTGTACTTGAGCTGGTTGAAGTTATACATTCATACACCGGAAACAATACTGATGACACTTGGAATTTACTTCGTTCAGAACTAGAACACTTGAAAAACAACTAAGTCAGTCTGAAAAACAAACGCGAACAGAACATCTTAGCTCTTTAGTTAATAAAAGTTTGGATAAAGTAAACACCAGCTGGCACACATATTTATACACTTGCTAATAAAATTCTTTATTTTTTAGTAATCTGCGTTACTAATCTTTACTGTGAAATCAATGGCAAAACAAAAAACAAACCTACTGCTAAATTTAATAGTTTTCTCATCGAAAAACAAATTCTATATATAAAAATTGTAACAGTTGTTACTCGTTTTGCTACTCAAATAATAAATCAGGTTATGATTTCACATCTAGCAACCGTCCTAAAAGACACGTATTCTCGCATAGAACTGGGTGTGGGTTTCGTGTTCCGACCCACGTTTATACCAGAGATAAGGCTTACATACACACATACAGGAGGGATTTCGCATCACACATTCAATGATACTAGCTGCGAACACCTATACGTTTAATATCTACAGCTATGATAAACACCCATACTTTTAATATCTACAGCTATGATGATCACCCATGCTTTTTGATGTCTACATCTATGATGAACTCCCATACTTTTAATATATACAGCTATGATGAACACCTATACTTTTAATATATACAGCTATGATGAACACCTATACTTTTAATATATACAGCTATGATGAACACCTATACTTTTAATATATACAGCTATGATGAACACCTATACTTTTAATATATACAGCTATGTGTTCTATGCTTCTTTAATTATGTTTATACAAAGTATGCTCAATCTTTCTCGTATACCACTAAGAAAAAAGTATGACATAGAAGTTCAAGCACCAGACAAAAATAGAATGCTATTTTGTCTTTCCCCTTTCTTTTTTGTTTATATTTAGCACACAAATAATTTTTATCAACACGAATGGACACAATTTTTAAAAGCCAACGCTGTCTAAGTGAATCTTGTACATTAATAAATTTCTTAAGTATAGAAAAGCATTTGTTAACCGGCATTTGTTAACTCTTCAAAGTATACAAGTAGCTACTAAGTCCCTACTGCGATAAATCACAAGTACAGACATACGATTTTGGATATTAATCGAGGTGTATGGTATGTACAACAGCTCAAAGACGCAACATGATTTCATCTACTTGTTTGGGTCACAAATTTTAAGAAACGAAACATAGGTTTTAGAATATAGGGCCAAACAGACAACTACAGAACGTTTCTATAGTGCGGTTTTAAATTTTAAAAATTGGGGACTTATTTTTCAGCTGCCTAATAACTAAATAAACAAAAACGAATTCGACCTAGGAACCCTGTAGTTGGCCTGGCATGGCCTGATGGTTAGGGCGCTCGATTCGCAATCTGCTGTTTGCGGGTTCGAATCCCCATCCCTCCAAACTTGCTCGCCCTTTCAGCCATGGGAGCGTTATATTATAACGGTCAATCCCACTATTCGTTGGTAAAAGAGTAGCCCAAGAGTTGGCGGTGGGTGGTGATGACTAACTACCTTCCCTCTAGTCTTTCACTGCTAAATTAGGGACGGCTAGCGCAGATAGCTCTCGTGTAGCTTTGCACGAATTTCCAAACAAACCAAACCAAGTCCCCTAGTGGAACAGGGGTAGGACTTACAACTTATAAGCATGAGTTCGATTCCCCGCAGTTGACACAGCAGATAGCCCAATGTGAATTTGCTCCTAAACAAATCGAACTGAAATTTAAGAGCCGAGATTCCGGTTTGTTGGACTGCTCCAGCTATTCCAAAGGCACGTGTTTGGTAGGGATGTGTGATATACACGCGGTAAACAGTTTGCAAAAACCTAGACCGAAATACAGAGTTCACTCCAACTGTGTATTTGGTAAGAACGTCTCTTACTCTCAAACCGGTGTTCTCATGAGCTGGTTTTCCCAGATGTAGCAAATATATTCAAATAAATAATATATAAAAAAAAAGACTACGCTATGCTACACGAAAGTTTCAAAGTGACTAATGTGTTTCTCCAGAAGAATTCATGATTAAGATCACATATCAGTTCATTTATGCGTGGGTTAAAAGTGTCTAGTATATATTCGTGGGCTGCTATCAGTATATGTTGCGTGAAAGATACAGTAGCGAATGAGTAGGTAGTTAATTAAATTTTATAGCCACACCTAACGGCTATATAATTATGACAAAGTTTATCCTGGGCTTCATATTATCCTGTTTCTAAAGAGTGTTTTTGATTTATAACAGTTGTGAAAGTTTGTGCTTTTTTTTTTACCGAGACAAGATTTCTGAATTGATATACATTAATATAGAGAACGTTCGTTTGTTTTACTTGTTACTTTCATACTATGTATTCATTTTTTTATGTAATACTGTATTTTATACAAATACAGGTTGCTAGTTATGGTTGCTTACGTTCGTTCATTTTATATATGGGTCACGGCGTAGTCAACGGGCTAAAATAAATATAGAAACGGCAACATAATGGAAGAGTTTTGATTCTGTAAAATATCCAAGAGGGTATACACACTGGCGGATTAATGGGGGAGGGAGGCAGACGGGGCTGCTGCCCTGTGGCTCCGAGGCAAATGGGGACCAAAAAATTTTTAGGCCAGGATATTATATGTAAAAAGTGTTGTTGAAATAGGAAGAATTGTTAGAAAGGAAATGAAATATTAATTTTTTTTATTTTTAATTGGGAGTGCTATTTGAAATTATATTATAGTTATGAATAAATAATTGTTTTCAAGCAAGTTTTATGTTGTCAAAATAGGATTAAAAATTTAAAATGTACAAGAACAAAAAAAATAATTTAATTATAAATATACATACATCTACAGGCCCCGGCATGGCCAGGTGGTTAGGGCGCTCGACTCGCAATCTGAGGGTCGCGGGTTCGAATCCCCGTCCCACCAAACATGCTCACCCTTTCAGCCGTGGGGGCGTTATAATGTGACGATCAACCCCACTATTTGTTGGTAAAAGACTAGCCCAAGAGTTGGCGATGGGTGGTGATGACTAGCTGTTAATCCTCTGGTCTTACACTGCTAAATTAGGGACGACTAGCGCAGATAGCCCTCGTGTAGCTTTGCGCGAAATTCAAAAACAAACAAACAAATACATCTACAGACCAAGGTGTATATTTAACCATGAAGTAGCGGTTGTGTTGTACAACAAAAATAATATGCATAAGAGGAGCCTATATTATTCACTGTCCCGGAGTTCCGAAGTGTCTTAATATCTTTTAATTCATGTCTAGCTTGGGCTAATCTTTAGCTAGTACATTACCAAAGCCATTTTGTGTCACAACTACCCACACCTACCTTATTTTTTTTATTCCTATATCCAAACAGATGCTTTAGTGCTTGGGGACGGGTAACCAAACCAGATGCTTTGCAGCTAACTCCAGAATCAGAGATGGGGTCTATGGATGCCACCGGCTTTTTAAACACGTTTTTCTAACTTGCTCGGGGGTTCGTGACTTAGTTGGCTACAGGATGTATAATAACATATGAATCATAAACAAAAAACCGTCAGTACTGCAGTTAATCTTTCTGGGGGATTAGCCTACGTAATCTGCATACAAAATGAGTGATTTTACCCAATTTTTCGGGGGGGTAGTTCCCCCGTATACTGAGTGTTGAAACAGACAAAGATATAAAACTACTCTATAATAAGCAATATATAAATACTCAACCGGTAGTTAACGTTATATAAAGAGGAAGTTAACTCTAAGTTTAAAAATCAAACAAGCCTCGTCACAAACGTTTTCTCTGAAGAAGTTTTTTTTTTTACTTAATCCAGCGTGGGTGTCGAAACCCAATTTTTAGCGTAACGATCAAACTTATCGCTGAGACAACGAGAGGACTTTGAGGATGCAGGAGAGATTTTGACAAAAAAAAAAAGAAAAAAAGAGAGGTCAAACTGTACTTAATTAGAAACAAATTTTGACACACATACCACTTCTAATTAAGCCCCCCAGTGGCACAGCGGACTTACAACGCTAGAATCCGGGTTTCAATACCCGTGGTGGGCAGAGCACAGATAGCCTATCGTGTAGCATTGTGCTTAATTACAAACAAACAAAACTTCTAATTAAAAGAAGGAAAACATCAGATCTGTCCATCGATGTTGTACTGAATTTTGAACTTTTGACTTCAGAAATAAGAAGGTCTAAGACATGCTTTGGCTCCGCAAAACACTATTGTTACATTGTACCAAAAACAGTGGTGTTTGCACAAGTGTATGTTGACATTCTTCAACATGTCAAATCAATTAGCGTTTTTTTTTTAAATAAATAGATGGCGCAAAGCACGAAACTATTATTTCTCTTTGCTTGAATAAATTCATTTATTCAGTTAATTATATTATTTGTATATGGTGGCAGTATATTTATTTATTTTTAAACAGACATTTATACTTGGAACTCATAGATGAGATTAGAAAGTTTCGTGCTTTGCGCCATATTTTTCTAAATAAATTTCTTAACTGATTTAATACATAGAAGTAGGTCAGCTAACTTGACTGACAGTAAATACTACTTTTTTTTCGACACAGTTTTGAATTTGTTGAACCTATTGGAATATTCCAAAAAAAAGTTATGATGCTATTCTCAAAACACAGTTCAATAAACCAATGTGGCTCAGTAGTAAGTCTGAGAATTCACTCCGCTAAAAACCGGGTTTCGATACCCGTGGTGGGCACAGCACAAATTGTGCAGATTTGTGTCTAGCTACTGACAAACAAACAAATCAATTAATGTCCAATTGTACAGTTAAAATTCAGTCGCTGACGTAAAGAAGAAGAATTCACATTTTAATTATTAGTTACTTACTTGTTAAGATTGAATTATTTTATGCAGCAATGACGTAAAGTAAAAATGTGAATTTGTACGCTTATTTCGATAAACAGCAAGCCTAAAAACAAGGGTTAATATCATTTCAACTTTTATCTATGTCAGATGTGTATGCGTATATGTATATATTATATTTATTACAAGCTCAGCTAAAAACTTTGCGGTATTATATTTAAGTATAGTCATAGTTGTAAAAACAAAGACAAAAAGAGAAAACAAGATTTACTGTAAACTGTTTGTTTTGCCTTAGAGCTAAGCTATATTGGGCTATCTGCTGTGTTTACTGTGGGAATCGAACCCCGGATTTTAGTGTTGTAAATCCATAGACTCACCGATGTCCCCCCGGGGGACGACTGTAACTGTGAGACATTTATAATCAGGTTCGATTAACACATACACGCAAATTACGCCACGACATATAGAACCCCAGCTGAGTTTGGGGGCCTATATGAGGTAAACCTTCTTTGCCTCCCCCAAACCTTTTGTCAAATGACGCTCCTGTTGTCATTCTCTTGGTAGTAAAACAAGGATAATGACTTTTACAAGACAAACTCTGCTGAAAATTTTGTGTCCACAACAAATAACGATAAAATGTTTTGAAGACTAACCTGACAATGAAACTTATAACCACAATACAGGTAGTAACTTTGAAGTTAAGTTAGCCGTGGAGATACTTGGTATTTTCACCCAGGATGGCACCTTACCGAACACGAGGGCTAGTGGAGATACTTGGTATTTTCACCCAGGATGGCACCTTACCGAACACGAGGGCTAGTGGAGATACTTGGTATTTTCACCCAGGATGGCACCTTACCGAACACGAGGGCTAGTGGAGATACTTGGTATTTTCACCCAGGATGGCACCTTACCGAACACGAGGGCTAGTGGAGATATTTGATATTCTCACCCAGGATGGCACCTTACGGAACATGAGGGCTAGGAGGCCTGGTCACAAACCCAAATGTTCAAGCATGGCCTTTCCTATAAAAGCTAGGTTTAGTAGTTGCGCAAATTGCTGTTTGTTTAACCTTACTTAACCATTCAGCGGGAAGATAAACTGTAATGTGTTCTTAGAAATTTAAGGAAGCAAAAAATATCTCTGATAACACTCTGAATTTTATCCTTCAGATTTCTCTCCTGGAATTACGTTTGGCCTTCCCAAAATTCATAAACAGAATTAACCATTCAGACCTATCCCTTCCAATATCTACATCTACACCTAAAGACTTGCTAAATTCCTAGTTCATATCTTTAAACTCTCTTACGACTAACGCATATGATGTCATAGCCTTTCCTAATTTTGAATTTCTGACCAGAGCGGGCAATGAGTCATATGGCCACCCAGCGGTTCCTTGAGGCCTGGGGCAAAATTCCATATTGGGGGTTCCTTATATTAACACCAATACGATCAAACCTTTACCTGTATAAATATATATTTCCCAATTAGTGCGCAGTGATGATGTCATCATACCTTGTGTTGACTTTCTATGACTTCTATTCCCATTAATGTAATATGCTGTTAATATCCATATCTCTTCAGTTCTAGTCTACAACTATAGAGATAAGTCTTGTGTAGCCCCGTTTCTTATGAGGCCCCGGGCAAATTGATTTATGTATGTAATAGTTTCAAGTTCTATATGTAAGTAAAGATTTATACTTTTCTGTCAAGTGGTTTTAGGTTAAGCGAGAGAAGTAATTGTCAATTTCATAAAATACAGAAGAACTGAAAATTAAAGTTTGCATATCGCCTTACTTAAACACTTATTGATAAATAAATATAGCTAGAGTTATTAATTATATAATAAAATCAATGTTTTAAACACTTATTTTTCAAGCAGCTTATTGCGAAGAGGATAGTGTCATAATTTCTCACCTTCACTGCGGAGTTCCTCAAGGCTCAATTCTTGGCCCCTTTTGTTTATTACTTATATAAACGATTTTCCCAGTACGTCAAAGTGGCACTTGTTACTTGTACGCCGATAATACGACTCTTATTATTGAGTCAT